GAGTATGGGTCACCATACTTGGCCACATGTCACGTCACTTTTCACTTTTTCACTTTTCACTTTTCAATATTACAGCGAGAATAAAAGTTACTCCTTCTTTCTTTGTGTGAACATTTGGGCGGCGTTATGCAAATCTTCCCAGATAGTGACGTAGACATGTCGGGGCTTGTTAGAACGAGCCGTTTTAGGTAAGCGTGGTTGACTCTTAACTTTTATAAAGAATATCTCTTTGGATTTGAGACTTTAGTCTTTGCAACTTTACAGATCTTCTTTATGCACCAAGAGCTTGTAACACTTCAAAGAGAAAGGAAAAATTGAAATCGCATCATATGACCCCTTTAAATAAATTTCAGTAAGTGTGTTCAATACTTTATCCCTGGGTCATTCCATTTTATTACACAGAACTTACTCTCTGAACTTATTTGTTTTGTTTTATTTGTATGTATGGATTACTTGGGTTGTTACCGACATCTGGTGAAAATTTCATGTCAACAGCACCTTTAGAAATATATTTACAGAGAAAAATGGTGACGTGTTCAATACTTATTTTACCCGCTGTATATATATATATATATATATATAAAATCCAGTTAGAAAATGAATAAATAAATGAATATATTTTGAAACAATGGAATAGAACAGGCTATTTGTAACTTGACACACCATCTAAAAACACTTATTTTATTTTACTTTATTTTAAACATTTTACTTTTTTGCTGAAGTGTACTTAAAATTTTAGTAATGTACATTTATGCATTTGGTAGTAGGGCTGTGTATTGCGTCACTTTTGAGAATGCTCAGAATGCTTGTCAGTTTTGCAGCGGACCATTTTTGCAGCTTACAGTCAGTAGATGCACTGAGGAGGAAGTTGTCATTGTTGAAACAGTATGTTTACACAAATCTTTTATTTGAAAGCTAAATTTTTCATGATACACTTCACCACTGGGATTGCAGTGACAGTTTAGGAACTGACATTTAGCAAACGAACATAAAAAGATGTCTCTTTAATTTCTCATATTTCTAACTTGCAGAGTTCAAGCTAATCTTTTTTTTTGTACCTCTCAGAACTCTGCGCTAGCACTTTGATGTGGGAAAGTTTGTAATGGTGAATGTTACTTTTGATCTGAATATCATGCTAATGTTGGGCTTCAAGCAAAAAGGAAAGGTTTTAGGAAATAAACTATTCTATCAGATGCTCTATACAGTATTAGCAAATCTGTAGCTGGTTTTTCACTTGAACAGGAATGAATCTTCCAAAGGCTTTTGAGGGGCCACGTTTTATTGATGCGGTAGTGGAATTGTGGGTGTGCTTTTAGAAAGCTTTGTTGAGCTCTCAGTAATATTGTCTTCCTCAACCCCAAGTTAGAAGGGAGTCTCAGTACTCCTGAATCATGAATCATCATGACAGCCCTGCTAATGTTTCAGGTCACTGGTAATCGTAGCCTCTGGCTAAGCTCGACCTAACCTGCTGAACCCAGCCAAGACAAAGCTGTTTAGGCATGAACTACATCCTTTTGTATGTGGAGACGTCAGGAGTATAAATCAATGCCAGGGCAAAAAAGGAGTCAGAACTTTTCAAGAATTTCGGGAGGATTCTTTGTGGCGCTGTGGAATGTGTGCAAGATGAATGGCGTTAGATGAGTACGGAGAAAGTATGAGTGTTGGGGAAGTTATTCCAAAATAGTAGTAAGTTACTGATTTTTTTGTACAGGAGATTGCAATGGTATTACTTTTCTGATCGGACTGACTAGTTAGTTATCACATTAACCATTACTAGGCGTAGATTGAATCTGCTGCCATTTTGTTTTACAGTTTCTTTGTGTTTTTTTGGATGAAAATGGGGTACTATTCTTACATCAGTCGATTCAGCCCCTGACTGAACATGTTTCTTAGGGGTGTTGACATTTTTGGATACAAAAACAGCTAAATGCAGCACAATGGAATAGAGCAGGCTATTTTTAACTTGACACACCATCTGAAAAATACTTCTGCCTGTACCATTAAAAAAAGGTGTGAGACACAAAACAACGGCCAAAGACGATGGGGCTTTCCCCGCTGCAAAGTCACTGAATGTCAGAGATGTCAAATCCGCTATGATAATGAGTCAAAGTGGTTGTTTCAGTGTTGCTAGTATTCATGATGTCCTGCATTTCTGTGTTATGATGGGAGCCTGCAGAGAATGGTTTAGTTTGTGTGTAGCGCAGAGGATCATTTTTGATTTCATGCTTTTGGAATTACTGCTATTCTTTGAGGTAATTGATTTTATATAATATTTACTCAAAAATCGGATATTTGAAAAAAATGTGCATGAACTGATACTTGGTGAAATTTTTTTTCTTTCTTTTAACATTTTGAAACAACACAAGCAAAATAGCTTCAAAATCATTCAAATAATATGATTCACAAAATTGAAACCCAACTTCTTATTCAAAATTATGACACATGAAAAGCACAGTTCATAAATAGACATGGTGTGTTTACAACATTTTTGTATGTATGTGTTGATTGTTGCATTCACAAATCTTCACACTTTTGTTACCATGCAGATGTTTATGACAGCTTTTGACAGATTCACAACTGTATCCTGCATTATTTAAACTGTATCCTCTTTATTAAGCCAATAATCTGTTACGCTTTCAATCCAGCCAATTATAGTACACATAAAACATCTGGCTCTAGTAATATCATGTTGGCCAGAATTTTTTTTTTAAATGGTAATATTTTGGTGCCACACACAAAGACACATTCATGCTGTGTGTAAGTAAATATTGCCCTGTGGCAATTTTCACAGTACATATTTAGCAACCCAACTTTTTGGTCTTTTTGGTAGTCATTGACTGACATTAATACTCAGTTTCTTAAGTTCTCCAAGACTTTAATTTAGTAACACGAATCCCTCAAGCTAAAATGGTCTGTCTTCCTGCTGCTTTTGGCTTCTCAGCTCTTTATTTAAACTCTTTTACAAGTAAAAAACTTTGCACACAAATGAGAATAGTTTATTTTGGCTCAAAGCTATGTTATGCTTACTCTTCCACATAAAAGCCTTGTGAAATTTTCTGTTGATGCAAAAATATCATTGAGGCCTTATACTGCAGATTGATGAAGACAGATTTCCATTGCGACAAATCCGGACTGTCAGAAACATTTCAGGTAATCGCTTGTTCTTGTGGCTGTTTCCCTTCTAGATGTGGAGCACAAGGAGGACGAGGGTGGGGACTCTGCAAAGAATGAGGTAAAACTGTCTTCCTGTTGTGCGCCTGCTGTGATATATGTGTGCACGTTTGTGTGTTTCCATCTGTGAAAATTCAACCTTTCCGTTAACTGCTCAAGATCTCCGAAGAAAATTCCTAGGAAGATGACATGGAACCTGTTTTTCCAGCCACTTGATTATGAAAGAAATGGTACCCTAATGGTGAAATATCAAATACACTTGGTCCTCTGCTTAAAAACAGGGTCCCTGTTCTCCACCAGCCGTCGGGCCGCTCGAACCCTCTCCGTACTGATGAGAGTGCCCTTAGTTTGAGAGTCCCCCACTAGCCCATTCGCGAAACGCTCCAAAGTCATTCGCAGACAATCCCCCTACTTCCTTCCTTCATTTAGGATCGCATAGATAGATAAGCACACTAAAACATAGAGAGAAAAAGTCGTTAATTTTTTTCTTTTCCTTTTTTTTTTGCTTTTGTCCCTTTAAACAGGGAGCTCGAGGGAGGCTCCGTGGGGGAGTGGGCTGGGAAGTCAGCCTCCGTCAAAGACCCATGCCCAGAGTAACCTTCCAGGCCGGTGACCCTTATTACATTAGCAAGAGGACCAGGGAGGAGTTGCTGGCCAAGTGGAAGTTGGAGGTGAGTTCCACTGCTCGCCACTGTCCCAGAGGAAGAGCGATAGGGAGCCTGTCAGCATTTCTAATATAGCAGGAACGTTTGCCAGAACGACGGCATCCCGAATAGACTCCGTGAAAGCCAAGTGTATTTGATGAGTCATTTGATCTCGCATGAAGGTACCATTTATTTCATGATACGTCTTGCTGGCTTCTTCTCACACTGAAAATCTAGTGGTTTACTCATTATAACCATGCACACACATGTCTGTTATGAATGCAGTGGCCAGTCAGAGGTGTTAAAATCGGTAATGGTAGTTTGTAGCAGTCTGATCCATAGATACGTTTTTTTTTTGTTTCTGATTGGTTATTGGCCAATATTAGAGATTTTAAAGTTTATCGGTAATAAATATTGGCTATTTAATTGTGCAAGCTTATTTACTCTATTTTGCATTAGGTTTTAATGTTTAATTAAATGTTTAAAATATTATATACAAAATATTTGAAATGTTTATCACTTATCGGTATCAGTATATCAGTATATATTGGTAGATATATTCATCAACTTATCGGTATTGTGTATACCTAGTTGTGATTGCCAGAGCATTTTTGTGTGGATAAAAAAACAACATGACTAGATACTTGTTGCTCCTGGTTAGGATCAGGGTCATTCCTAGCATGGGACGGGGCCAAGTGCAAGTAGAAGATGCAGGGCCCCCTTAAAGGATGGGGCCTGGTGCGGTTGGCCCAGTTGCACCGCCCGAAGAACAGCCACAGTTGGCCTTTGTACTGTTTAATTGTAACTTATTAATCTATTTCACTAATTATTGGAGACATCGCGAATAATCCAAGATCAAGAATGTGACATTTCAGGAAGAAAATCAAAGGTTATATCATCATTTAATTATTTTTTTGTCTAATAGTCTGAGTCATGTTGAATTTTTATACACGTTACATGAACGTGTAGAACTGAAATTGTTGTGATGTGTCTTGACTTGAATATGAAGTGTGACTTCTGCTCCACTAGTGGCACCTAAACAGCTTTCCAGAACACTCCTGTCTGTCATTTGCCGATCATACAGATAGTCCCACCCCAGGGTTATTTTTAAAGAAAATCCAGTTTAATATAATTTAAGGGACAAATTAAGAGGTACTTGAGCATTAAGGTTGGTTCACAACAAGAAAGATAACTATAGTTCACACTAACAGACCGGTAACACTTAAGTATCAATTCTCACTATTATCTAGTTGCTTGTTAGCATGCCTGTTAAAAACATATTGGCTGTTTATTAGTGCTTATAAAGCACATATTCTGCATGACCATATTCCACATCCCTAATCCCAATACCTAAACTTAACAACTACCTTACTAACTCTTAATAAGCAGCAAATTAGTAGTTTATTGAGGCAAAAGCCATAGTTAATGGTTTGTTAATAGCGAGAATTGGACCTTAAAATAAAGTGTGACCAAACAGTCTATAATATTATCATTTGATACCATCACTATATGCTGATCTACAGCATTTTTGAAAGAGTGGACTCACTATTATCTAGTTGCTTGTTAGCATGCCTGTTAAAAACATATTGGCTGTTTATTAGTGCTTATAAAGCACATATTCTGCATGACCATATTCCTCATCCCTAATCCCAATACCTAAATTTAACAACTACCTTACTAACTCTTAATAAGCAGCAAATTAGTAGTTTATTGAGGCAAAAGCCATAGTTAATGGTTTGTTAATAGCGAGAATTGGACCTTAAAATAAAGTGTGACCAACAGACGAGAACATTCAATGTATTATAATAATGCACTGCAGTTTTGTCATCTGATGGTTAAAATGCTCGAGCTCTTTAAGGTCAGATGTATTCTGATTATCTCTAAATATTTTTATCGTTCAACTGCTGAAAAAAAGTCTTAAAGTCATTCCAGTGATAACGTTTTTATGTGTTGTTATCGTTACTGTTGGGGAGTGGACTCCACTTTTCTTATAGAATTAGAAAAATTATTAAAACTTTATAGTTGAATGAGTCAGTGTGAATGAGCCTTTACTGATCGGTTTGATGTGGTACAAAAAAGGCTGGAAAACACTGATGTAGATAATTAATTTAGCTCTCTTAAAGGGGTCATATGATGCTATTTTAAAGATCATTATTTTCTTAATTCATCTTCGGAACACAAATTGACATATTTTTGAAGAAATCCGAGAGCTGTCAGACCCTGCATAGACGTTGTGGTACTCTTGTGAACGCATGTCGAAGACCAACTCGGAAGAGAAGAAATTGTTGAATAAAGTTATTTTTGTTTTCTTTGTGCACAAAAAGTATTCGCATGGCTTCATAAAATTACGTTTGAACCGCTGATGTCACATGGACTATTTTAACAATATCCTTAATACCTTTCTGGGCCTTAAACGTGGTAGTTCTGTTGCTGTCTATGCAGGGTCAGAAAACTC